CCTCTGCCATCTCAAACAAGGCAAACACAGAAACAGCCCCTTGTTCATGTTCTCTGTGGTAAGAGATTGCATTTTATACAATTCTTGGTTTTGAAATGGTAACCAAGAGTGCTCAGGAAATGTTTGATACATGCAGTCTGGAGTGATGCTGGGGCAGTGGCGGAGACTGAACTTTACAAGGGAAGGGTCTGTGTGCAAGTGGCTTCCAAGGAAGGGACAAGAGAAGCATGGAGAAATGAGTTGGTTATCGGCTAATTGGGAAACATTTGTAGTTTTCTTCACTTGTACTTAGGGTATTAGAAAGTTTGATCAAAGGAAGAAGTGCTTCATGGAGTTGTAGCAAAGAGTGAATCTTACAGAATGACAATTTTACATAAGTCTTAACATATGGAGAAAGGAACATGGATATAAAACGGACACTTTTCTTTTCTTTTGTTAATCGGGCCCAGGGGAGGTTCACACTCAGCTGACCTATAGTTGGCTCTCACTGTGATTCCTGGTGTGCGGGGCTGGGGTTTGAACTGGCCGCCCCTGGTGTGTGGGGCCGACACGCTAACCATGGCGCCCAGTTTAAATGGGCACTTTTGAAAACCACAGCCCTGCCCTGAAGATGGTGTGGTTCCTGCACAGGCACTTGTGTTGAGCTTATTTGGACACTACAATTCTGTTCCCAGCAGTACAGTAATAAGGCAGATTTTACACAAACAGACCAAAACTTAGACCCTCACATGCTTGTAGTTGACTTGAGCTGTTGTCCTGAGATCATGTGTATTCCCTTTTTTTGGTGTTGTTTTTCCTCAGAATATCTTTGGAACAACTGAAACCACTTTCCAAACTGGCAGCATATCTCTTTTGGGTAATAGTAAGTTCTTTTTACTTGTTGAGGATGGATTTAATTTTTGGAAATGGCAGAAAAACATTCTTTTTTTTTGAGACAGAGTCTCACAATGGGACTCTCGATAGAGTGCTGTAGCATTACAGCTCACAGCAACCTCAAACTCCTGGGCTTAAGCAGTCCTCTTGCCTCAGCCTCCTAAGTAGCTGAGACTGCAAGCACCTGCCACAATACCCGGTCTCGCTCTGGCTCAGGCAGTCCACCTGCTTGGCCTCCCAAGTGCTGGGATTATAGGCGTGAGCCACTGCACCTGGCCCCCCAAAACCCATTCTGAATGAAGTGATTATGTTGGAGAATTGAATTGTTGTGGCACTCAAGGAAATTCCAAATATATCATATTATACTTAAGTAAGATATGAAGCTTACAAAATATATAGGATAATTTTCATGTTTATGTACAAGTTCTTGTACGTAGATGTAGGAAGACTCATTAAAATAACATTTCTAACTTATTTGCTGCCACTGATTAATTAGAGCTGGGGACAGGGTAGATCCTACCCCATTATCACGTTCCCATGACTTCCAGCCATCGTGTTAGTCTCTTTCGAAATCCTTGGCAGTTTAATTCATGTATATACCATGCCTGTTTCCTCACTTCATGTTTGTTTCTGCCTATCCAAACTATGGAGCGGGAAGTTCTGAGTTTAATGTAGGGTATGACTACCTTAGAGGGGAAAAGCAATTGCTAAAACAATTAAGATTGTTCTGCTTAGATATAAAGCCTACAAGAACTAGCCAGGGTATACTTTGGAACATTCCGAGGAACAGATAAACAAAGCAGAGGCTACCAGCCAATTTCTCTTCACCCTGCTGCTCACAAAGTAGTTTCTGGGTTCCAATTTGTCCAGTGTCTTATCAGTGAATGGGTAAAGTGTGACAAAGGCCCTTGTGTTGCTTTCGTGACCAGTCAGGGTGGGATGGTGATGGGGGAGGCTGTCCTTAGGCTTGGGTTGGAGGATGTTGAATTCCTTGGCATAGACATCAGGAAGAAGAAGAAGTGGGAATTAAAAACCTCATGTGGGAAATTGGTCATTAATGAAAGGAAAGTTACCCTGAACTGTTCATCTTACAACATCAATGTCTTATTATCTGGGCCTGCCTGCTGATGTGTTCTCCAAACTTCATGGTATCATACACTGATGTATTATAAATGCGATGACAAGCCTTCTAAAAGCGTATTATTCCACAGATGTACTTTCAGAATCTACTAAATTAACTTCAACTCTAACTGTATTGTTGGCATTGAGATCTGGTCTAAGAAGCCACATCTAGGCAAGGTGCAGTAGCTGGCTTCTGTAGTCTCAGCACTTTGGGAGGCTGAGGTGGGAGGATTATTAGAGACCAGCCTGGCAACACAGTGAGACCCTTTCTCTAAAAAAAATTGTAAAAATGAGTCAGGCATGGGAGCACATACCTGTAGTCCCAGCTTCTTGGGAAGTTGAGGCAGGAGGATCACTTGAGCCCAGGAGTTCAAGGCTGCATTGACCTGTGATTGGGCCATGTACTCTGGGTGACAGAGAAAGATCCCCCCCCGAAAAAGCCACATCTCTCTGGGCTTTTGTAGTACCACACAGTATCATATAAAGGGAAGGTTAAGACATGCTCTAATTTTCTTTCTTTTCTTTTCTGAGACAGAGTCTTAACTCTTATCACCCTGTGTAGAGTGCTGTGGCATCATAGCTCACAGCAACTGCAAACTCCTGGGCTGAAGCAAGCCTCAGGCCTCAGCCTCCCAAGTAGCTGGAACTACAGGCACCCGCCATAAGGCCTGGCTAGTTTTTCTATTTTCTTTTTTTTCTTTTTTTAGCAGAGACAGGATCTCTTGCTCAGACTGGTTTCCAACTCCTGAGTTAAACAATTCACCCACCTCAGCTTCCCAGAGTTCTGGGATTATAGGTGTGAGCCACCATGCATGGCCTCTAATTTTATTTCTAAAGTTGACAAGTGGTCCCTAAATGGAAGAGGACTTTTGCTATAGTATGTATGATGACTGCTGTTTAATTTAGATATGGATACCTGCATTAATTACATGCCATCCTCTGAGTCTGTGCAGGCTTCCAGTTTAACATTAAGAGCTCACAAGATGTGGATTTAGGCGATGTGATATGGGGAGGAAGATCCTCCCCTCTGTGGGATAAAGCATAAAAGCCTTTGGGAAGGGGCCCTTCTTACCTGAGCCAGACAGCTCCTTCTGGGAGTGAAGGGTAACTTTCCGAGTGGATCCTGATGTCCCTGGCCTCCCCTGAGAGGTGTGTTTTACTTATTCTTTTATCCCCCCACCCACAATGTTTGATTCAAATTGCTCAGTAAATATTTGTTGGATAGCTGATGAAATAATTTGAATGAGACAATACCCTCCAAGGCAACCTGGCAATGTGTCCTGGGTTGCAGTCTTCAACCTTGGCCCATAAATTTCATATTAATTTTTGGTTTCTTTTTTTTTTTTAAGGCAGAGTCTCAAGCTGTTGCCCTGTATAGAGGGCTGTGGTGTCATAGCACCTCAACCTCTACATAGCACAACAACCTCCAACTATTGGGCTCAAGTAATCCTCTTGCCTCTGTTTTTTTATTTTTAGTAGAGACAGGTTCTTGCTTTTGCTCAGGCTGGTCTCAAACTCATGAGCTCAAGCTACCCACCCACCTCGGCCTCCCAGAGTGCTAGGATTACAGGTGTGAGCCACCGGGCCCAGCTGAATTTCATATTAATTTTGAAAAAAGAATTACTGAATGGAAATTGAGTGTTGTGAGTTCCCAAGTACTTTGAAAATGTTTCTATATTGTTTTGTCCTGATTATACCAAAAAATTTTGTCTTCTGACTTTTTGATGCCAGAGTCGGCTTTTTTTTTTTCTTTTTGGCCAGGGCTGGGTTTGAACCTGCCACCTCCGGCATATGGGCTGGCACCCTACTTCTTTGAGCCACAGGCACCACCCATGGAATATCTTAATTATCTTGAAGCTGAGCCCTGAATCAGTCATACCTGGTCTTGGGGAGAGGTGCAGGAGTTGAAGGTGAAGGTGGGAAACGCCATCCAAGTGAAGGTGTCCTTGTTGTTGCTCACACTGACATCACTGTGCCTTAGAGAGAGAGGTAAACATAATTTGGAAGAGAATGGGAGGAAGCGGCCTGTTTATCCTTCAAGCTAGAAACCATCTCTTGACGAGTGTGTCATCCAGTCACTTACTCAGCAAACACCAAGTCCAGGCAGCGTCTGGCAGGCTTTCCACTTTGCTGTAATGAGGGCAGTGTCTCTGCTATGTGTCAATTCAAGAACTGGCACCTGGAGAACCTGCTTCCTCCGTGGAACTGACGACATGGGGAAGGGAAGGGAGACACAGACCCTCAGGCAGCAGGTGAGGACTTGCTCCAGGAAGGAGCAGGAGGAGGCTGAGGAGAGGTGGGGCCTTGAGTGTCCCAAAGGGCTTGGAGGCTCTTGTCCTTTGTAAAGGCAGAGCTCATCCCCCCAGCAAAAGCCAGCAACACATACTCATTATCTTTAGAAATGGCTTTCCTTTTAATCTTTTTCAGATTCATATTTTATATTTTGCCCATCTGAGTCGTATTTGTCAGAAATCTGTGTATGTCAGGGAAGGAAGGGACAGGGAATTTTTTTTTGTTTGTTTGGACAAGGAATGTTTTTGAAAGTAAGTTCTAAGACTTCCTCATCCTCTTCCCAATAAGAAAAAAGAGACTAAATCTTTTTTTTAGTGGCAGTGGCAGCTAAATAGAAGGGCCAGTAGGTTTTCCTTTGGCTTTCACACTGGCCTGAGCCTAATTTCCTGGAGGGTGCTGGCAGGGCTTGACTGACTCTGGTCACAGCAGTCACTTCATATGTCACTGTAGTAACTGGATATGACACAGAAGATTCAGGCAAAGGGGAGAGTGGGCTTACCGTGCTGTGGATGTGAGCAAGCCCAGATGAAAACCAGGGTTTACTCAGGTAAGAAGAGTTGGTGAGCGTCTGTGAGGCACCACTGTCAGCTAGTATGATGGTAAAACGCCCGCAGCCCCACCCAGATGGCCAGTTTTAAATGTCTGAAGTTGAGACCTATTCTAGGGGTTAGTAAATGGAATTAATCCAGAAACACAAATTTTAACTGTTTCAGGGATGTGAATACAGCCGTGATGGAGTTGCTGATCATGGCCTATGCGCTGAAGACTTCCTGTGCCAGGAATATTATTGGAGTCATTCCTTATTTCCCCTACAGCAAGCAGAGCAAGATGAGGAAGAGGGGCTCCATTGTGTGCAAGCTCCTCGCGTCCATGCTGGCGAAAGCAGGTGCGCATGGGCGGGCCCTGGGCCCCAGCGCTGTCGCTGTCCTCGAGGGTTCTTCCCTAGCTGAGAGGAGCTCATACCTCAGACTCCCAGTTCCGGACCTGGTTTCTTTGCATGTTGCTCACTGGTTACCTTTTCATATTTGTTTCTGTTTCTTTTTATACAGTTTTGGTTTGGGTTAGGGACATGGGAGCTTAGTTATACTTTTTTGTGTGTGTGTTTGTCTTCAAAATGCCAGTGCTTTGGTGTTTCTACTCTTTCTCATCATGGCCTTTAGCTGGCCGGGGCCAGGTTCGAACCTGTCACCCTTGGTATGTGGGGCCAGCGCCCTATCCACTGAGCCACAGGCGCCGCCCTCATCATGGCCTTTAAAAAAATCATTCTTTCACTTCTTTTCTGTTTCATCTTGTCATCATTAAAGTTTAGCTGGCAGGCTTGACATTCTTACATGATCTTTTGAGCTTAGGACTCGATTTGTGTATTTGCCTCGGTTAGCTGAATTTTATTTCTGTCCGTGTATTAGATAGACCTGGGTTTACATGCCCTCCCCCTACTGCCTCTGCATCGCGGCTCATCCTCGCTGCTTTTGTTCCCCTGTGTGAGTTGCTTTCTGGCCTGTAGAGCAAATGTACTGTTTTACAATTATCATTTTATTTCATCTGTTTAAGACCTCTAATATTTGTTTGGGTCCTCAGAAAGAAACCTACAGTCTTCCAGTATCCACAGGGGATTGGTTCCAGGGCCCCGCCTTCTTCCCCCTCTTTCTACATGCTCAAGTCCCTGATGTAAAATGGCATAGTATTTGCATATAACCTAAGCACATCCTTCTATATACTCGGAATAGTCTCTAGTTTACTTGTAATCCCTAATATAAATACTGTGTAAGTAGTTGTTATGCCATATTGTTTAGAGAATAATGATAAAGAAGAAAGTCTGTCCGTTTTCAGTACAGACAGCCATTGTAGGCCTAACTGCATTTTCCATCCGTGGTTGGTTGATAACCTAACTGCAAATATGAAGGGCTGACTGTATTTGAATTTCATTTTCTCTAAAAAGCTATGTTTTTGGAAAGAGCAAAGACTACTGGTTTTTTGCTCTGCAAGTTTTGCAGTGACCTTTGGCCACTTGTGGCTTATTTACTGATATACCTTTTTCTGGCTAGTACTGTCACTTATTCATGTAAGAATATATCTTCACTGTTGTTTTCTAAGAACGCTTCTGGAACCATTCTTTTATGACGTGCAGAAATTGTTGCAAACTTCCTATCTTTGTGTTCCATACATCCCTTTCCTCCCACCTGTATATTCCGTTGCTTTTGCTTTCTTATTCCTCCTGCCTTGGCCACAGTTCTGTAGCATTTCTTCCTAGATTCTTTCATCAAGGCCTTACTACATTTATTATTGCTTTGGCATTTATTAATTCCATGTTCATATTTTTGCTTCTACTTGATTTTTTTTTTCTTAATTCTCAAGACCAAGCCGACAGTAGAGGAAGGCACATTTTCGGGGCTGTGGTTCTTGGTCCCTGTGGAAGGGTAGAGGCTTCTGTGCCACGTAGGCCCCATTAGGTTAGCGGGAAAGTCCGTAACTACTGTGCGTCTTCACTCCCCCGTCTTCCGTCTTCTGGTAGGAAGCAGGAGTTGAGCATCTAGTTTGTGTCCACTGTAGCCATTAACTTGTAGGGGTGGACTTTGTAATTTTTTGTTTTAAAATTTCAGGTCTAACTCACATTATCACTATGGATCTTCACCAAAAGGAGATACAAGGCTTTTTCAGCTTTCCCGTGGACAACCTCAGAGCCTCACCTTTCCTGCTTCAGTATATCCAGGAAGAAGTGAGGAGCCTCTAGCAAACACCCCCTTGTCCTCAATAGAGATCCTATGTAGTTTTTCTCTGGTATCAGATTTTAATATTGGAAGGCACATCGAACGATCTTTCCCTGAAGTCTCAATGCCTGGGATAGCCAGAGAGGGTCAGCATTTTGTCATGGAGGTTCATAATTTAGACAGTAAAAACAGAATTCCTCTAAGTATCTTTAACAGTGTGCTTACATTTTCTAAAATAAGAATTTTTTGTATCTTGATGGAGGAGTACTTTTTGCAATGATGTTAATTGATAAATGCTGAAAAATTTAAAATGTGTGCCTGAAATTCTAGCACAGTTGATTGCTTGTTTGGATCATTATTATAAGAGGAAAAACTGTAATAGCAGCATCCAGGTGTTATTTTTTGATAACTTTTCAGCTTTTTCTATTTTTCCTTCAAATGTAGATTCCAAATTACAGAAATGCAGTCATTGTAGCTAAGTCTCCTGATGCTGCAAAAAGGTAAGGAAGCGAGACATTCCTAAGAACCCCTTCTGCTGCTTTGGAAGTCAGAATCAGCTGCTGTAGAATCCGGGGCTGTCCTACCACGGCCTGTAAAAGCTCCGGCTCCAGCTTTCCCTCTGTCATTCCCCCGTCCTATACCACACACACTTTATCTCTAGTTTCCAGACAAGTTGGTCACTGAATTACTCAGCTTTCCTCTGGGAGAAATTGAAGTTCTCAGGAAAAGGGGAGCAGTGAAACTGTGAGCATTTTTCAAACAATAGTTTTTGAGACAACTTTTTTTTTTTAAGAGACAAAGTCTTGGTCTGTCACCTGGCCCAGAGTACAGTGGGTGTGATCATAGCTCACAGCAACCTCAAACTCCTGGGCTCAAGCAGTCCTCCTGCCTTAGCCTCCTGAGTAGCTGGGAACACAGGCACATGCCACTGCACCTAGCCTTGAGACAACTTTTTGAACGGCGTTCATTCTTCTGAGGTGACTGTTAGAATATTGGATGAAGGATAGAACCAGAATGATCTAAAGTCAGAAACTAGCCCAGGTCCCAGCGCATATGTCCTTGAGGCACTTGCATTCTGGCCTAGGCTTCACACTCTGCTTTATGTAAATGATCTCTTTCTATGTCCCTAAGAGGTTGAATGGTGCTTATATTTTATGATTAATAAAGTGGTGAAGTAGTGATGCTTGGGTTTTTTTCCCACTGATTTCAGCATTTCCCTTTTTCCTCCTAGGGCCCAGTCCTATGCTGAGAGGCTGCGTCTGGGCTTGGCTGTCATCCACGGGGAAGCTCAGTGCACAGAGCTGGACATGGATGATGGTCGCCACTCTCCCCCTATGGTCAAAAACGCCACTGTGCACCCGGGCCTGGAGTTGCCATGTAAGATTAGCTCTTGTGTTTTTATTTTTATTTAGATATTGAAAAAGAAATGGGAATGGCTATGAGTTAGCACCTATGTGGGCATATGCTGTCTTGCTGTTTTTAAATAATTGGGTAATATTACATTTTGTAGAAGGAGGCTGTATGTGTTAAACGGATTTACCGACTCTGTAAGGATAATTGAAATCTGGGTAGCACTTGTCATTCAGTGAGCTTTAAATAATTTTAGCTTTAATAGAAGAGGTTTATGTGTGATGGTATGAAATCCAAACCTTTTATGTTTTGATAAGCTGGGTGGTGGCAGCTATGCATCAAATACCAGACTTTGGCCATCACCTACCTTTTATTATTTTACTTGAGCCGTGTAGCTCTTAGACCTCACCCCTGACTGGCTTGCTGTTATTAATCCACTAATCCAACAGTGTGGAAGCAGTTTGCTTCCATGGACTTTTGAGAGGGTGTGACTAGCGTGCTGTACTGGAAGACACATTTAAGTTTTTTAGAGGTGCAAGATTATTTCTCTTTAAAATCTGTATTTAAGGCCTGGCATGGTGGCTCATGCCTGTAATCCTAGCACTCTGGGAGGCTGAGGCAGTTCAGTTTGGGAACAGCGTGACCAAGAGTGAGACCCTGTCTCCTAAAAAATAGGAGTGGCTCAGCACCTGTGACTCAAGCGGCTAAGGCGCCAGCCACATACACCTAAGGTGGCGAGTTTGAATCCAGCCTGGGCCCGCCAAACAACAATGATGGCTGTAACAAAAAAATAGCCGGGCATTGTGGCGGATGCCTGTAGTCCTAGCTACTTGGGAGGTGGAGGCAGGAGACTCGCTTGAGCCCAGGAGTTGGAGGTTGCTGTGAGCTGTGA